AGAGAAAGGTGCATTCAGGGAGAAACAAGATTTTGCTTGCTTAGGGCAAACACCCTTGGAGGCCACTAAAGCCAATGGGAATATTTCGCAAAAAATTTTAAATGAATTTCTGAAAGTGAATATGAGCTAATATGAAGTTATAAAATCCCCTGGGGCTATAGATATAAGGCCTTTGTACCCTCTTACAGCACTTTCCTCCATGACCTTACCAAGCAACCACAAAGAAATCCAGAGAAAGCTTCCTTCAGGGTTCTTGCTGGAGACAGTAAACAGCAGCCAAAGCCAAATGTTCTCTACTTTTTCTACTGACAAAAGCCTCTAAAGGAGGAAGAGTAACAATACTGTCAATTTAGGGCACTGGATGAAATTCACTGCAGCTGGGAAAGAGGAACAGGAAAAAATCCCCAGGCAACCCTATCTTTAGAGGAGTGGAAAGACTATATGCCAGGCCTGCACAACTGCCAGAAGAGGAAGAGAAACACTTTTGAAGCTTATCCAGCAAAAAAAATGTGTTCACAGTACAAATAAGAGAACATTGTATCTACTGTTCACACACCAGTTTGCCAAAATTTAAGCTATATGATATGTAACGAGAAAAAATAACAGTAGATACAACTGGACAAACTGTAGGAGACAGATGCTCTCTGGGGAACAAAGACTGAGAAAAATCCTCACACCCTAAATACCAGGTATCTCTCAAGAAATTTGAAGCTTTGGTGCACTGAAGGTACCCATAGTAACAGTAAACTTCAAACCCAGTTTAACTGCTGGCTAGATTAATGCTAACCCTCACACTAAAGAACTAGAAAAAAAAAATCAGTTCATCTCCAAGCATAAAAACATTTATCTCCATATCTCTTGTCCTGTACATGTTCAGCATTCCACATAAATTTATGAGGTGTATGACAAGGCAAATACAGTCTCAAGAGACAAAGCAAGCATACTGATACATTTTAAGTTATAAGTTTTAAAATGTATATTTTAAGCCCTAGGACCATCACTAAAATTTTTTCAAGTATAAATGATAAGTCAATAGTGGAGATGAAATGGAAACATTAAAATGCTCAATTAAACCCATAGAACGCAGTTTCTTCATAGGGTCATTGGTCTTTATATTTTGTGGTGTTTTTGCAGTGGCCGGTACTGGTTTTTTCTTTCCATATTTAGTGCTTCCTTCAGGAGGTCTTGTAAGGCAGGCCTGGTGGTGACAAAATCTTTCAACATTTGCTTGTCTGGAAAGGATTTCATTTCTCTGCTTTTGATGCTTAGTTTCGCTGGATATGAAATTCTGGGTTGAAAATTTTATTAAGAATGTTGAATATTGGCCCCCTCCTGGGTTCAAGGTGTTCTTATGTCTCAGCCTCCCAAGTAGCTGGGATTACAGGCATGTACCACCATGCCTAGCTAACTTTTGTATTTTTAATAGAGACGGGGTTTCACCATGTTGGCCCGAGTGGTCTTGAACATTTGACCTCAGATAATCCATCCACCTTGGCCTCCCAAATTGCTGGGATTACAGGCATGAGTCGCTGTGCCTGACCCTTCTTTTTTTGTCCCATTTTTGTTATACATGTTGTATCTATATGTACTACAAATCCAAAAATACATGTTTAAATAAAATAATTATTAAATCTTATATGTCTATTAAGGAAATGACAAAAGTGTAGAGCAAGTATATATTTATAGAATCTGAATATATTTTTGCTTGTGATTCTTGGTTTTCTTCATTGGTTGCTGTAAATTCAAATTACCAACTAGTATTTTTTCCTTGTTCTAATGTAAGTTTACTCTCACCCACCTCTTTTGTGTTGTTATTGGGAAATATATATACAATTCCACAATATAATTTTATGTATATTGTTTTATATAATTGGTTTTTGAATGCATTAAAAAATGGTTGGAGAATAAATATGCAATTATACCATTTTAATTATCTACCTAGATACCTTTACTGATACTCTGTTCTTTGTGTGGATTTAAATTACTTGCTGATGTCTCTTTCAGCCTGAGGAACTTTCTTTAGTATTTTTTGTAAGACAGATTTGTTATCAACAAATTCTCAGTTTTTGTTTATCTGGAAATATTGTTATTTCCTCTTTATTTTTGAAAGACAGTTTTGCTTAACATAAGACTCTTGATTGACAGATTTTTTCTTCTACTATTTTGAATATGTCATTTCACATTCCACTGCCTTTCAGCCTCCATTGTTTCTGAAAGTTAGCTGTTAATAGTGTTCCTTTATACACAAGGAATCATTTTTCTCTTGCTGCTTTCAAGTTTTTTTTTTTTTTTTTTTTTGTTTTTAAGCATGTTTACTGGGATGTGTCTGGGTACAAATTTCTTTATCCTACTTGGAGTTTATTGAACTTCTGAAAGCATAGATAATATTTTCATCAAATTTAGGCAAGTTTTCAGCCAGTATTAAAAAAAAATTTTGTATTCCTTTTTTCTTTTTCTTCTGTTATTTTGATTATGTATATTGTTGTGATTAATGGTATTCCACATTTCTTTGAGATTGTTTATAGTCTGTCATTCTTTTTTCTGTTTTTTTTCTTCTGTACTTTTGCAATAATCTCCTTCTTGTTTTTCCAGCATCAGTCTCTTACACCCTCAAAATTGCTCTATTAAATGAAGTCACATTAATATTTTTCAAACACTGCTTTACACTTATCACTCCCTAACTTGAAAACTTCTCATAACTCTCCATTGTCTATATTGCAAATAAGTTGATTTGCTTCTTTGTACCTCATTAACACTATTTTCACAATTCCCTTCATGAATGTTTTAATCTAGTCGAATTGGCCTGTGAATGAAACCAGTTTTAATCTCTACTTCTGCAGCACTTTATGCTTATCACTCATTTCATTATAATACCTCTTACTGTCATTTTTACTAAATTTTTAATATACTAAATTTTAAGCCTCCAGAATTTAGTTTTTTAATATCATAACACTTGGCACAGTGCTCTGAATGTTAGGAATAGTAAGGAATGTAATTGTTGATAATCTTCTTACAAAAAAACATGACATTTAATTATGTTTCGATTACTGACAGTCAATACATATAATCAAAGTACAAAAATTCTCTCCCAAGAACAAACTGTTAGAGATGGAAATCGATGGAAAATGTTAGCTAAACAAGTAATTTTATAATTATTCTTTTCCACTGAAATCAATTGATGACTCATGTATATTGATTAAAATGCCTTAATATATACAAATGACTGCATGGATACTGTTTGTCCAATTAATGGTTTGAGAATTTAGTGAAGTGCTAGATAGAAAAGACATATAAACTAAGGGGAGTGAATCTCTTTCCTGGCCGTGTCACTTTTTAATTTCTCTCTATTCCCATATTATTATCAAAGTCAGTAATCTCCAACCATCTATTTCTCAGTCTTAACCCTATTTTTCAGACAAGTCCCTGAGCAAGTCTTCTCTTTGTAAGGCATTATGATCTACATATAATGTCAGCAATTTTATTTTACATATGGCATAGATACGTATTTTTTTGTACAATGTGAATGATTATGGTCAATTTTATATTATTTGTTTCTTCTTTAATCAACATAGGGTGAAATAAAGAAAAATCAATTTCAGAAAGAATGCCAAGCAGCAGATGTCGATTTGTTGTTTGTTAATTCCTTGCCCTTTAAACAAGTTGAATAAAACTACCTGGATATCCTATTTGGATTTCCTTATGTCATTCTGAAGCTAATCTGAAAATTTAAACCTTTGTGCATGTAAACTTCTCTCTACATAATAGACATGTGACTATAAACAACTATTGTAATACATGAATAAGGGTACTCAATGAAAAGTAAAAGGAAACAAGCATTGCATTATGGAACACATGCCAATTTAATCAAAATGAGACATAAACTGAAAGCATAACTAGAAAGATAAGCATGTTGTATGCTGAAGTAGCCTCACTTTCATTTCCTTCTCTTTTATATCCTTTATTCAAAATCTTATGGAGTCTAAACAGCACAACTCATCCCTTATAAGAAATTATCATTTTCATTTTATGCAAACCAAATGCATCATTAAAATGATTTTTTAAAATTATGAAATACAGTATCTATGTTCATTGTCTAATGGAAGTTTTAAAAAATGTATTTGATGGAAATAGAATGATTTTCATAGTTCATTATATGCTTTAAATAGCAAGTATTTCTCTGTATGAAAGGGGTTTTTATGTAGATAAAATATTGATTCTAGTATGGATTGTCATCATTGTCTTAGTCTATTTAATTCTGCTATAACAGAATACCACGCACTATGCAATTTATAAACATAGAGGATTATTTGGCTCGTGATTCTGGAGGTTGGAAAATCCAAGATTGAGGGGCAACATCTGATGAGGGACTTCTTACTGTGTTATAACAAGGTGGAAGGTATCACATGTTGAAATATTTGCAAGAGAGGGAAGGGGGCTCAGCTAATCCTTTCATCAGAAACCTACTGCCATAATAACTAAGCCATTCTCACAATAACTGTCTTAATTCATACATGAGAGCAAAGCCATTATGATCTAATTACCTCTTAAACATCCTATTCTTAACACTGCTGCATTGGGGATTAAGTTTCCAACACATGCGTTTTGGAGAACACATTCAAACCATAGCAATAGTAATACATTTGATTATATAGATAAGAATGTATGTGTGTGTCTTCAATTCTAAACTTATTTTGTCTTCAAACTTACATAATAAAAATAACTCCACATGAAATTAGATTTATATGAGAAGAATATAAAGCAATAAAAGTTATATAATTTTGCAGATACTTTATTAATTATATAGCAGATAATTATTGCAACTAAAGATTATTTACAAATTCAACAAAAATATTAGGATTCATAGACATGAGTTTATCCTATTATAACAAACACACAATTACATTATAATTCCTCTATCTTTAAATTCCTTCAAAGTTTTAATTCTTACAGATGAATAGAATTTAAATTAGATTTAATTAAATCTTGTGTTTTTCCTTTAGGAAAAAGTCAAAAAGAAGGAAGAAAATCTGAATCTTGTAAACCAATTCTTAAAGTAGAATACAAGACCTGCAAAAACAGGTATGCATTTTTAATTTAGGGAAAGAGGGATATGAAGCACAGACAATAAGGGCAGATGATCTTTAATGTTAATATATTGCTTACAGTTTTATATAATTATAAATATAGGTGGATCCTCTACATTAACAACAACTGACTTTTTGTTGTCTAATAGACATGTCTCTGATGATGATTATTATGAATATTGCAGATTACAAGTGTTAATTATTTGAGAATTCTTTTAAGCATCTAGATAAGTACTATACACACTAATGTTAACAGTAAAGGACTTTTGGCCCTGCATATTACAAGTAGCAGGATTTATTAAGCAGAAGCAATATGTCCATTGATACTGCATGTGAAAGAATTAAATACATAACCAAGTCTCGGCACGCTAAGATCTTACATTCTGAAGTTAGAAGATTATAGTTTGTTGGAAAGATAAAGTTATGTATATTAATGTAATAAAAAGTACTGAATTTTAAGATATTAGAAAATGAAGAAAAGAATAATATTAAGTAAAATATTATCTTATATTTAAATTATGTTACATTGATTCCTTTACTGTTATGTAATGCCCTTTGTCTTTTTTGATCTTTGTTGATTTAAAGTCTGTTTTATAAGAGACTAGTCATGCAACACCTGCTTTTTTGCTTTCCATTTGCCTGGTAAATTTTCTTCTATTTTTTATCTTGCACCTCTGTGTGTGTTTGCCAATTAGATGGGTCTCCTGAATACAGCACATTAATGGGTCTTGACTCTTTATACAATTTACCAGTCTGTGTCTATTCATTGGGGCATTTAGGTTTTTACATTTAAGGTTAATATTGTTATGTGTGAATTTGATCCTTTCATTATAATGCTAGCTGGTTATTTTGCCCATTAGTTGATGCAGTTTCTTCATAGTGTTGACGATCTTTACAGGTTGGTATGTTTTTGCAGTGGCTAGTACTGGTTTTTTCTTTCTATATCTAGTACTTCCTTCAGGAGCTCTTGTAAGGCAGGTTTGGTGGTAACAAAATCTCTCAGCATGTGCTTGTTTGTAAAGGATTTTATTTTTTATTCACTTATGAAGCTTAGGCTGGATGAAAAATTCTGGGTTGAAAATTCTTTTCTTGAGGAGGGATCCAAGATTGCTGATTAGCAGCAGCTCTGGATTGCAGCTCCCAGTGAGAGCGCAGAGGGTGAGTGGATGCCACATTTCCAGAAGGATTTTTATTGCCCATAGACCAGGAGATTCCTGGGTGGAGGAGCCCCACAAGTTGCCAGCACAGCTGTTTTGGCCAGCATGGCATGTCTCCAGTCAAAATACTCACACGGGTCCCGGCACGATTTCAGCTGGTGACTGGAGAGCCTGGGAGACAGAGGCACCCATTCAACTGATAAAAAGAGGATGAAAACTGGGAGCCAGAGTGAAAAATCATTCCTGAGTGAAAAATCTCCATGAATCTGTAGCATTGCTGTTTCAGCCAGCACAGTGGGTTGCCACATGGAAATCACACAGAACCAGGCACCATTTCAACAGGTGACTGGAATGCCTAGGAGACAGAGTTGCCCATTCAACTCATAAAAGGGGACTGAGGGCCTGGCGTGGTGGCTCAAGCCTGTAATCCCAGCACTTTGGGAGGCCGAGGCAGGTGGATAATGAGGTCAACAGATTGAGGTCAACATGGTGAAACCCCGTCTCTACTAAAAATACAAAAAATTAGCTGGGCATGGTGGCACATGCCTGTAATCCCAGCTACTCAGGAGGCTGAGGCAGGAGAATTGCCTGAACCCAGAAGGCGGTTGCGGTGAGCCGAGATCGCGCCATTGCACTCCAGCCTGAGTAACAAGAGCAAAACTCCATCTCAAAAAAAAAAAGGGACTGAAACAGGGAGCCAGGCCAGGAGATTCCTGGGTGGAAAAGCACCACAAGTCCCAAGTGCGGCTCTTTCATCTACATAAAATCTCACACAAATCTGGGCACCTTTCGAACTGGTGGCTGGAATGCCTCAGAGACAGAGTAACCAATTCAACTGAAAAAAATAAGGGGTCTGAGGCATGGAGCCAGGTGATCAGGCTCAGTTGGTCCCACACCCACAAAGACCAGCAATCTGAAATGCTCTGGATTGAGAGATTCACAGCAAGCAGAGCTGAAACCAGGACGGTCCAGCTCTGATGGGGAGAGGCGTCTGCCATTACCAAGGCAGTCTACCACTACCGAGGCAGTCCACCACTACCGAGGCAGCCTGCCATTGCTGAGGCAGTCCCTCATTACAGAGAGAGTCCACCGTTACAGAAGTGGGCTGCAATGGCCAAGGCAGTTCTGACTATACCCCTATAAACAGGACTGCAGGGAAGTTTATACAGCAGCTGGTTGGAGCCCACAGCAGCTCAGCAAAGCCTCTGCTGGCAGACTGTGACTAGGCTGCCTCCTTACTGGGCAGGGCAGCCCTGAAAAGCAGCAGCACAAACAGAAACTTACAAATAAAGCCCTACCTTCCCAGGACAGAGCACCTGGGGAAAAAAAGGTGGTTATGAGTTCTGCTGTGGCAGACTTAAACATAGCTGCCCAGCAGCTCTGAATGAAACAATGGAGCTCACAGCTAAGCACTTGAGTTCCTATAAAGAACAGACAGTCTCCTCAAGCAGCTGCCTGACCCCATATATCCAAAGTCACCTCATAAAGGAGAACTCAGACTGACATCTGGTGGGTATCCTTCTGGGACAAAGATAGCAGGATAAGAAACTAGCAGCAACCCTTACAGTTCTGCAGCCACTGCAGGTGATCCCCAGGCAAGCAGGGCCTGGAGTGGACCTCCAGCAGTCCTACAGCAGAGGGGCCTGAATGTTAAAAGGAAAACTAAGAAACAAAGAAATAACTTCATCATCAACAAACTGGATATTCACTCAGAGATCCCATCTTTAAGTCACCAACTACAAAGACCACAGGTAAATAAATCCACAAAGATGGGAAGAAACCAGTGCAAAAAGGATGAAAATACCTGAAACAAAAATACCTCTCCTCCTACAAGGGATGACAACTCCTCACCAGCAAGGGAACAAGGCTGGATGGAGAATGAGTCTGATGAATTGACAGAAACAGCCTTCAGAAGGTGGGTATTAAGAAATTTCTCTAAGCTAAAAGAACATGTTCTAACCCAATACAAAGAAACTAAGAATCTTGAAAAAAGGTTAGGCGAAATGCTAATGAGAATAAACAGCTTAGAGAGGAATATAAATGAATTGATGGAGCTGAAAAACACAACATGAGAACTTCATGAAGCATACACAAGTTTCAGTAGCTGAATCGACCAAGTGGAAGAAAAGATATCAGAGGTCGAAGATCAACTAATTAAATAAAATGAGAAGGCAAGATTAGAGAGAAAAGAGCAAAAAGAAATGAACAAAGCCTCCAACAAATATGGGACTATGTGAAAAGACCTAATCTATGTTTGATATGAGGTACCTGAATGTGATGGAGAGAATCAATCCAGGCTGGAAAATACTCTTCATGTTATTATCCAGGAAAACTACCCCAACCTAGTAAGGCAGGCCAATATTTTAGTCCAGGAAATACAGAGAGCATGACAAAGATACTCCTCAAGAAGAGCCACCCCAAGGCACATAATCGTCAGATTCACCAGAGTTGAAATGAAGGAGAAAATGCTAAGGGGAGCCAGAGAGAAAGGTCGGGTCACCCACAAAGGGAAGCCCATCAGACTAACAGTGATCTCTCAGCAGAAACCATACAAGCCAGAAGAGAGTGGGGGCCAATATTCAACATCCTTAAAGAAAAGAACTTTCAACCCAGAATTTCATATCAAGCCAAACTAAGTTTCATAAGTGAAGGAGAAATAAAATCTTTTATGAACAAGCAATTACCCAGAGATTTCATCACCACCAGACCTGCTTTACAAGAGCTCCTGAAAGAAGCACTAAACATAGAAAGGAACAACCAGTACCAGCCACTCCAGAAACATACGAAATAATGAAGAGCATGGACACAATGAAGAAACTGCATCAACTAACAGGCAAAACAACGAGCTAGCATCAAAATGACAGGATCAAATTTACACATAATATTAATCCTTAATGTAAATGGACTAAATGCCCCAATCAAAAGACACAGACTGGCAAATCAGACAAAAAGACAAAACCAATCAGTGTGCTGTATTCAGGAAACCCATCTCACATGCAAGGATATGCACAGGCTCAAAATAAAGGTATGTAGGAAGAATTACCAAGGAAATGGAGAGCAAAAACAAGCAGGAGTTGCAATTCTCGTCTCTGATAAAATAGACTTTAAACCAACAAAGATCAAAAGAGACAAAGAAGAACAATTACATAATGGTAAAAGGATCAATGCAACAAGAAGTGCTAATGATTCTAAACATATACACACCCAATACAAGAGCACCCAGATATATAAGGCAAGTTCTTAACGACTTACAAAGAGACTTATGCTCCCACACTATAATAATGGGAGACTTTAACACTCCACTGTCAATATTAGACAGATGAACGAGACAGAAAATTAACAAGGATATCCAGGATTTGAACTCAGACTGGACCAAGCAAACCTAATAGATATTGCAGAACTCTCCTTGCCAAATCCACAGAATATATATCACAGCTACTCTAAAATTGACCACATAATTGGAAGTAAATCACTCCTCAGCAAATGCAAAAGAAAGGAAGTCATAAGAAACAGTCTCTCAGACCACAGTGCAATCAGAACTCAGAATTCAGAAACTAACTCAGAACCACACAACTTCATGGAAACAGAACAACTGGCTCTGGAATGTTGGCTGGATAAATAATGAACTGAAAGCAGATATAAAGATATTCTTCAAAACCAGTCGGAATGAAGATACAACATACCAGAATCTTTGGGACACATTTAAAGCAGTGTCTAGAGGAAAATATATAGCAACAAATGCCCATATAAGAAGCAAGGAAAGATCTAAAATTGACACCATTTTAAAAATTGAAAGAGCTAGAGGAGCAAGATCAAAAAACCTCGAAAGCTAGCAGAA